GATATAGGGTAGGCGGATATATATAAGAGAGGACAACGTGATGCGGGAAGGTGTATAGAGAGTGAGTAATTGAACTGCAGTCACAGGGTATTGTTGAAGTTAACGTTCGTTCATTACAGTGTTGTTTTAGCGCGAGTATTGAAGTTGAGTGTATCGGTAAAGTTGTATTCGGAAAGAATAAACCAGTTTTATTAAGTAAAGACTTGTGTCGTTAAAATTTCAGTTGGAACGAAGTTACGGAAAAATCAATTAACAAACGGAGACGTAACAATAAGCAGGAAATGAACATCCAAAGGTTTAAAAGTAATAATTATATCAAAGTTTGAAAAGAAATAATACTGCTAATTATATAAAATAGTTTTTTTGTTTTTATTATACCTTATTGATCTTTGAATTAATATTCGACTTTGACTTTTCTATATGGGATGAAAAAATAGTAGAAAATTAGATAATTTTCTTAAACTTTTATTAAAATATTTGAAATTAGCTGATCAAATTATGCATTAAAACAGGGGTTGCAAACCTTCAAAGAAGAAGAGAAATTTTTTTTTGTTTTTGTCTAATACCAAAAGATTTCAATAACCACAATATTCCCTAACAGTCTAGCCTTAAAAAAGTCTTAGCAGTAAATCTTCAGATTTACAATGCTAAAATCAGGAGTTCAATTCCCCCATTGTTCCTGAAAGATTCTCAACTTTTCTTCACAATAAGAGTAAAGCCAGAGAGCACAAATCTCCTTAAAGAACTCCATGCAGTTTTCAAGCTGCAGGTTGCCAGCTCCCGCATTAGAAACATATGATGAATAGATAGACTTATGATATCTGAAAAATTATGCAGAAAACATATTAAAAACCTGTTAAGTTTCTTTTATTCAGTTATAGTATGTGTATACATAAAAAGAAAAAAGGTAGATGCTATTATTATACTCTTGATACTAGACTGTATATTTTTATGTAGATGTTACTGTTTACACTTTCATGTCAACACACTTCAATTGAAGTGTAGTGTGCTTTAATAAAACCTCTGGTGTTGGTGTATCCATGAGAAGATTTTGAAATATTAAAAATTGTTCATTTTGTATTACCTTGTGTCCAGTCTCTTTCTTTCTCAGATTCATGTATCATGGAGGAGCCTATGGTCATGCAGAACCAATAGACAAACAGCCACCCTAGAATGTTGGAGTCCCTCAGAATATCTACAATGCTGTGTTGAAAGTATCTCAGTCAGGTGATGGTTGGAAAATTGTGAAGGAGAGGATCTGGCTACTATATTAAGTTTCAACGAGCACTTGAATGAGGAGTAACTATGATACTGTGAATTACATTGGAAGTTTAACTTGGTAGAAAACAGAACAATTCTTTGAGCCAAGTTCAAGGCTCGGAAGAAGAGCACCACAGAAAGCATCACTGCTTATGCTGATGATCTGTGCCATTTACACGATAAAGCTTACACTGCAATGGTCTCAGCAAGTTGACAAGTTTGTGGAAGGCCTACTTTATGAAATTATGCAGTGTTACTTGGGTGGAAGAGATATTATCATCCTTCCTGAGGAAGTTTCTGTTGCAATGCAGTATTAAATGGTAAGTTTGAACCAGTTGAAAGAGATAAAGAAGCCTGTAGCAGCATCTGCAGTGACTTCACTTTATACAGACCATCTTATTCAGGCCCACATTGTGCCAAGTTCAAGTCCAGACAAGGGATAATCAACCATCACCACATTTAGGCATTGTAATACAGTCACACTGGTATACATTGGTTGGGCAGGGCTATCCTGATCCTTCCATTGTTTATTGGCTGCTGTTGATACTTCTGCTAGGAAGTAATTCTGAAAGAGTGAAATATGTGGTTTGCCTGTGTAAGGTTGAGAAACATTTGAATGAACTGCCCATACCTTGCTAAGGAGCAAGGTAGACAAGGCTATCAGTTTTGGCCAATGGTCTAACAACAGGTGGTGAATACTGCTGCTACATCTCCAGGAAACTAGGGGGCCTAGTCATTGACTTGTGGAAGTGCAGTGAACAAATTGCACCAAAATGTATGATGGTCTGCCCAGCTTTCTCAGGATTGTGTGGATCTTGATATGCACCTGTTGGAGTACACAAGCAAAATTGAAAAATAGAATCCCTGACTGATACAGGAGTGGCCAGAACATTGATATATCTTGTGGTATATCTGGTGCTCTGAAGAAAACCACCACTTGGGTCATTCAACACAAACTTTTTTCTGGTGAATACAGATAAACTAGATGGGAATGAAAAGATCATGCTCCATCTATTTCTAGGAGACTTTGCTTAAAGAATGAAGGAACTTATAGCTGATCTCAGTTCTGGCATCAGCATTCATGGAATGGATGAACAATGCCACAGATGACACATGTCTGATTAAACAACTACCATGCAAGCTTCTATGGAGCACTAAGGATGTAGCCAGTATTGAAGTATAACAGATAGTAAAATACAGGATCATACAACAGTCAGAGAGTGTTTGGACATCTCCAGAAGTGACTGTTAGAATATAGGAAGGCATGCCCATGTTCTGATTGATTGTTAATGGGTAAATGCAATAACTAATGTTGACACCTTTCCATTACTGTGTACAGATGAATGTCTGAGTGCACTGGGAGGGACTAATTGTTTCAATACTTTAGACTTAGCATTTGGATTCTGGCAACTTGAGTTAGATGATGAGAGCAGACCTAAGACTGTATAATGTGGCAACCACTCTCAAGAGACTAAAGGAGCTTACAATGAAGAGGCCACAATGAGAGAAGTGCTGATCTATGTCAGTTATGTCTTTGTGTTTGGTTACACATTTGAGTCTATAGTTAAGAACCTGAAAATGGTATTCCAGTGCATAAAGAAGGCAGGTTTGAAACTGAAATCTGGAATTTCTTGTTTATATTGTCGGTAGAAAAGGAATCACCATAGAACCTGCTAAAGTACTAATGGTGCAAGATTGGCCTCAACCAAATTTAAAGTCTTCAATTTCATCTTTTTTATCTCATATTACTGATAGCTTATGGCCAACTTATCCAAGATTGCCTTATCAGTATTGGTTCTCTCTAAAGTGGAGACACACTTCAGAGGAAAGTGAGTAAACATTCCTGTCCTTGTAGTGTGCTTTAGAAAAACTCCTGATGTTGGTGTATCTATGACAAGATTGCACATTCTGGCTAGACACAGTTGTCAGTGATAGTGGGATTGGAACAGTGTTATTTGCATGGTGGAGAATGTGTAATCACTTATGCTAGTCCTTAGCTCATGGCTTCAGAATTCAGATATATTACAACAACAAAAGAACTGCTTGTAGTTATGGTCTTTATAAAACACTTTTGATGCTACTTGTGTGGTAAAAGGTTCACTGTTTTAGTGGACCATGGTTTACTGGAATGACTATTGAGCTATAATTCCCTGAATGGATTATAGAATGCCAGACAACAGTGTTACAAAAGTATGATTTAATCATATAGTATTGCCAAAGCCTTCTTCAGACTTTGGATAACACAAAGAATGGAGAGCACCTTGGTGTTGCACATTCACACACACACTTGTGTTAATGATAAGTGGCAGTTCTTCTGGCCACATTTAAGTTGAGACATTCAACATTGGTGAGAACACTGTATGATTTATTTCACCCAGAGTCAAATTAGACTAAACAGTGTAAACTCCTGCAAAGAATGTTTGGTTCTGCTTTGCAGAGAATAGCATGTATATCTATTCATGACCATCAACTGCTTCCTGATATAGACCAAGACTTATCCATTGGTTAGTATAGCCACACAATCTTTTATTGATGGGTTGGTGGAACATTGGATAACTCAACTTGGAGCACTCAAAGATATTCAAACAGATCATAGAGCTACTGTAACCGCCAACTGTTGTTTAAAGTATTGGATGTAGTAAAGATATGCACTTAACCTAATCACCCCTAGTCTTATGATTTAGTGGAATGAGTTCATACAGACTGTCAAATTTGCAGTGTTTATTAATGCAAACCAAACTGGCTGGAATGAGTACTTACCCTATGTTGTGATGCTGAACCATGCAATTAACAAAGGTCAATATGTTGTTTGCTGAATATGCTCATGTTTAGCTGAGAAGTTTTGTTTCCTGTGGATGCGTGTATTGTCCTCTATCTAGTGTGAATGTCTTGCATTGTCCACAAGCATATGTGGAGTGAGTAAGGTTTGATTTAGTTGATGTGCACAAGTATTCACATCAATAGTTAGGAATGGTCAATATAAAAATGAAAATCGAGGTACTATAATAAGACAGTGAAGCAACAAGTGTAGCAAAGTAAAAATTGGGTATAGCAAGATTCACTCACCTGATCTAGGTGAGTGGCACAGTCTTTGCTACATCTGCCTTGGTGCACCTGATATGCAGTGAGGGAGTTGTGTTTTGTCATAGCATGTTTTGATATATATATATACTGTAGAACCTGTACGAATACCACTCATGACTTATGAAAATTTTAACTAAAAGTCTTAGTTTAGCTGATTTCTGTTGATAATGATTCATTCACATTGTTTCAGTGCAAAGTAGAGTATAAAATGCAGGTAGTAACCAGTGCCGGCGCCAGACTATTTTGCGCCCTAGGCAAGGCCAGCTACTTGCACCCCTTGAAAACAATAAACTGGTTATGAACTATAAGCTATTATGAACAATGAACTGTTATATATTTTTTATTATGTTTTTTCTTAAAACAAATAATTTGTATAAAACTGTGACCCTTAAAGGTCAGTACTGCGCCCTAGGCGGCTGCCTAGTTGGCCTAATGGTAACGCCAGCCCTGGTTGTAACTGTACAAGGAGGGGTGTAAAGTTACACATATGTGGTAAAACTTTGAAAAACCAAATTTAATTAGTACTAAACGTGTATCTGGACAAACTTCATCTAGGAAAGGTTATGCAAGCATTATTGGATTATACCAGTCAGTAATAGAAGGAATGGACCTAGGTTAAACATGTATGCCATTGTCATAGGGGACAACATGGCTATTAAGTTATTGGTTATGCAGAAATTAAATGAAGCCTGTGGACCAAGAAGTTCATATGTGCAAGGTGATAAAACATTGATTACTATGCCTCTAAAGGTAGTTTTTGAGGGAAGTAATGGTTGTAATTAGGTGTTTATGACCTTTTTTCAACTTCCACACCTAGCTGGTTTTCTGTCCAATTGGAATTCATCCAACCTTGCATTTTAGATCTGCAGTTTTATTATTTAAGACCAAATTCCTCACTGTTTTTGGCTACCTTGTTCTTCAAATAGCCAGAGGTCTTCCAATTTTGTGTATGCTAAAACCTCCAATATGAAGGTGTCATAGAAAGAACAAGTTTTGAGAACCAACATTATACCAAAGAGTTCCTGTTCAGCAAAGAGCTAGACTTCCTTGCAACCCCAAGATGCCCAGAACTGGCCTGATTCTCAATCTGGTAAAACCCAAGGATAAAGATCTGTTGTTGGCTGATGCACTAGAAAAGAGAAATGAAATAAAGTATTACCACTTGGGGGTAAGTAAGCTACACTTAGCTCCTGAGGTTGGCATTTCAGACCCCATTATAGTAGTAAATTAGATAGATTATTTTAGTATAGAGTTATAAACAAACTTCTTTTACTTTGGAGAGCAGTCACCTTCCCACAAATGTCTGCAGGCAGTGAATGATGATATAGATGTGGGACATTGTGGGCTGGAGCATCTACATCTTGCTCTCCTAACTTGTATTTCTTTTGATGATTTTATTTGATTTTTTTATGAATTTCATCATGCGAGACTGGCGATTGGAAGTTAAAACTGATAGAAGGTGTATCCCCCCTGCAATGTGGGTCCTACTTCCGCAGTCACCTCCAAATCCCAGTGCATATTTTATGTCCCACATTATAGCCTGTACCCCAGGGATCCTTCAAATTTATGCAGCATCTTTAATTTAATTTTGTTTTTTTATTTGGGCTTGTTTTGTTCACTTAAGTGTCCTTTATTACAGGTTTGGAGTTGCTGTTTTTAATGTAGTCCTTCCTTTTGATTTTATTTTGGATGACTGTTTAAGTATTAATTTTCTATACATATATATATAGATAGATAGATAGCTAGATAGATAGATACATGTACCTCTTCCTATATTCTTTATATTCTGTTTAATGTGTTGTATAAATGTTGTTATTTTACCTAAAGTTTGGTTAGTTTAATTACGTGTTTTCATTACTTTTACTTACTGGTTGTATAATTAACCTAATCCCTTTTTTTCTTTTCAATCCTTTATGTAATAAGTTCATTTTCTATTTTAATTGTGTTTTGTTTTTTATATATGTAAAATATTTCATTAAGATTCTTTGATTCTGTTAGTCATTGTAAAGGTTTTATTTCTATTGTTGGTATCAGTGTTAAATGGTTTAATTTTTTATTTTTTGATAGTATTCTTCAGTTTCATACATCAATGTTAGAAAGTAATGGTTGTTTTTGTTATTGTAATTTGCCAGTTATATCTTGTACTAAAGGGTTTGTATCATAACATTTTACTACATTTTTTAAAGGTTCCATGTCATACATTGAAATTATGATTTTGTATTTTGATATTGTATTAAGCTGTGGATTATGTTTTCATTGTAAAAGGATACTTTTATGAGGTACTGTAACAAATTGAAAGTTTGTTTAAAGGTACTTTAATATATTCTGTGGTTGCAGCTACAGTGTATTTATTAAAGGATTTTTGATTGTTATTGAACTCTATCCTTTTTAAGGATTTTAAACTATTGAAATCATATATTTCTATGTTTAAAGGTTTGTTTTATTGTGAAATCAAGATCATCTTCATTGTTAAAGGTTTTTCTTGTAGTGTATGTGCTTACATCTATGTCAAAAGGTTTATCTTTGTACTGTATCTAGTTTTATTGTTGTAAGGTTTGTTTTTCCATTGTATGTAGTGTTATTCTTAAGGAGCTTATATTTATAGGTATCGTGTGATTTTATTTATTAAATGGTATTTTTGCCAAATGTAATCAAATATTGTATCTCTTTGTTAAAGGGTTGTGCACCTGTGTAGCATGTGTTTTTTGAGGGTTGAGAGAATGTTAACAGACCCCTTAACCATAGTGCAAGTTTAAAGTTTATTGTTTGTAAATCTAACATTAAACATTAGCTTGAGGACAAGGCTGAAGTAGGAAGGGAGGAAAGTGTGGTATATAAATATACCTTACATTTCTCTCTTCTGTTATTACAACAGTATTTATTCTGAACTTATTTTTTACTTTGTATATGTGCATGTATTAAATGTTACATGGTTGAAGTAGCCATTAAGTTAATTTCATTCTAGTTGCCACTTTTCCTTTGTCATCCTCTAGGAGATAATACATTTTCTACCCATGAATGGATATTACTGTTCTTCAATAGTAGTTTAATGGTATCTCATAGTTACAGTCTTCTCAATTCTTGAATAAGAATGATTAGTTACATGGCTAGTTCTAGTTGCTCTAGGTAAATGTGACGTTTCTTGTGAAGTTAGGAACAGTGGATTTAAACAGTCAGGTACATGATCTTGAAGGAAGATCCACTAAAATCAACCATATCATTTTAACAACAGCAAGTATACACACTTTGTTGATGAATTCATATAGATTGTTTATTTTGTACATTACCTTGTGTCCACTCTCTTTCTTTCTTAGACAGATATTCAGAGATTTAACATTATTCAGTAATAAATATTCTGAATCTCTTGTAACTCATCAGACCTATCGCATTTCTCTTAAGTCAATTCAACTCAACTAGGACATACCACAGTGTGTGTTATTATTTATTATACTTTATATATATACTGATATAAATGTTTTGGTTTAGACCAACCTTTATAAAAATTGATTAAAAATTATATGACACACATATGATGATATTTATTTATGACAAAATGGAAAGACATATTTTACTGATATGCAACATACATCTACGTGTAGTAGACATTTAGTGCAATATCCAGTTTTTCTGATCTTATATTTGTCAACATATTTTTACATATTTGCTTATTTTCATATAGTTTTAGCTAGTAATCTCACTGTTCATCGGGTGTGAGAAATGTAATTGTAAAATTAATATGTTCACATTTTATGATTTTTATTAGTTTATAGGCTTCAGTGCAAATTTTAGCTTTCAAGTAGTCTATAAAAGGTTACATTTGTAATTAGGTCAGTGTAAAGCATGTCAAATATATCCACTTAGTAATAAGCTGAAGATATGTAGAATAAAGAACTATGAGCTTCATGGAAGTTAACTTATGTCTCATATCTTCATACCTTGTTAGTTTTATCTCGTAGATGATACAATGGAAATCAGAGAAGTCCACAAACTTAATGATGGAAGGGACCCATATCCTTTGTTCCTTCATCGTCAGAAGGTGCCAAAAGACAGAAGTAACATACCATGTAAGCTACACCTTCTCATGAGTTTTTATCAGTTTTCAAATTATTTCAAAATTACTGAATAAGCTGAATATAATTAGCTAGTACAAACACTGATTTGTTGCATTTTAATTGATGTTTTTGTGGTTATCTTTGGAATATACTCCTAATATATATATATATACATTTGAATTATCTAACTCAAAATAAAGAATTCAAAAAACATTCAAGAGCAAAGTATTATCATTTTTGTGTATAGACAAAACAACATTTATGGAAATATATTTAAGACAAATATTAGCTTGCATATTCATAATTACAGTAAAAAATTTTGAAACAGTAGTTTCTTATTCACATTGTACATTATGAAACTTTAAACTTTAATTGCAAGAGATCATCAATGCAGCTTTACAAGTATAAGATATTGTAATTAAATAAGTGTTAATTTGATTCTACTGTCTTGCACACAGATTATTTTATATGAATACCAGCTAACATCCTACACTTCACAAAATGTCCTGAAATAGAAATTTGAGAGACCAATAATTCATTTAGTTAGAGTGGGTTGGGCATGAGTACAACTCTAAAAGATGAATTTATGGCTAGAAAAGACAATTCACTGTTGTTGATGATCATAGTAATGTGATATTCAGGTATGTACATTGATATACATCAGAATGAAATCAAGGTTCTGGAAATGTTATGCCCAATATTAAAATTAATATGGACAGCAAAGGAAAACAGTGCAAGTGAACAAATAAAATGCTGTCTTTGTTCACAGTAATATGCATGTAGGTTAATTACTAACTTACTGGCTGGCCTCTATCCTGTTGCATTTGTAACTGACTTCTAAGGTAGGGAGAAGACTTATAAAATATGTACACAGAACAAAGACAGGATCAAGAATAGTGCATAGAACAATGACCGAAGCAAGAATCATGAAATATTACACTACAGACCGGGATCCTAGTTACGATAACCCAAAATATTTGGATTACCCAGATAAATGATTATTCAAAGAAAAAAGTTACAAAGGAGAGAACCCCAACACATACAAACTTGTACAAGTTTCTATATAACTCCTTAAAAATAATCATAACCTCATTATGGGGGAGGAGAGAGAGAGAATACAGAAATAAGACATCTTTAATAAATTTCAAGATGAACTCTCCTGATAGGCCAGAAGACAAGGATCACTACTTCCTTTCAGTCAAGTAATCATCCTAACTTTATAATAATGGAGTATTTATAACACCATATCTTTAGGAAAGCTTACAATGAACCTCCACTCGATAGCTTGGAAAGCCATTTTCTTTCAGTCATTGGTTTTGTACTTTATCACATGATTTCCTTATGATATTTTACTGCTACTCACCACTTGATAACTTAGAAATGTTACATTGTTTTAGTCAACTGACTGTCTTAACCACTGGCCATGCAGTTAATCCCAGTCATAATGATTAGGATGTTGATGTCTTGGCCAATAATCGAGGCAGACATATTGCTTCTGTGCTGGTTCTTCTTTATAAGCTCCTCACAAACAACCAGATATGTGCTACCAATCTCTTCATTTTTTTCTGCTGAGATGAGACAATATGACACAATGCTCTCATCATCATAGTCAGGTATTTCATCTGTCTCTGATTCCTGGAATAACCAGTTCTTGATAGGTTATTGTATTTGATGTATATCATGCAACTGACATAAATCAACTGACTTAGCTATCTATTAACAAACTATGAATCAGTCTGGCTGGCAATGAGTTGCTTAGAAGCTGCAGTTGCATATTATAGCCAAACTAAGTAACCAGATTCAAACTTTCATTCTATTGCTGTTTTTGTCATGACATCTCTTTTGATGCATAGCCACTTTACCCATGTGATGATGCACAAATTTATGCACATCAGACATTATAGAATACAACCATTCCACATATTCTATGGCATGGCAGTTAAAGCACTTGACTCATTAGTAAAAGAGTAGCCCAAGAGTTGAAAGTGGTGGTGTTAATTAGCTGTCTTCCCTCTAGTCCGTCACTGCTAAAGTAGTAACAGCTAGTGCAGATAGCCCTCATGTAGCTATGCGTGAAATTCAAAACAAACCAAATCTACATATTCCACTAGGCAGAAGACCATATATCAAATCTACTGAGAGCTGTTATTTTCATCTGAAGATCAGAAGATACAGAAAACAACTAATTGACTGTTGTTCAGCTATCATGACACACATATGGTGCTCATCCCAATCAGTTTGGTTAGGGTTCACAAACTTAGCATTCTGTACTGCCCATTCAGCCAAACCATCAGACTGATGATATGGTGAAGTGCACGCTTTCACAACCCCTACACCTGGTATAACTTGGCAAACATCTGGCTATTGATGTTAGCTCCTTAATCTTTGTGGAACTCTTCAGGTCCTCCAAAGCATAATATCCATTATTCAGCCAACACATCTGCAACAGAAAACACTAATGTGTTGACCAACAAATAAGCTTCAACTAACTTGGTTAAGTAATTGATAATGACAAGCAAATACCACTTACTTTTCTCAGTTTTTAGAAGAGGACTAGCTAAGTCTATGATAATCCTCTTGAGGGGAGAACTTAATACTCTGTGCTGGAGTTTTGCCCCAAAAAGACTGTTTTTTCCCCCTCAGTAGCACATGTTAGAATTTCTACACCATTTCTCAACTCTTTTATATGAACAACTATAAAATACACATAAATGTTTACAACAGTACACGACACTCCCTGGTTATTGTTCAGTCCTAGTATTATGTAAGGTCTGAAATATCTTCTGCCTCAAAACTTTTGGAACCACTAGCTGCATCATAGGTTGGCTACCACATCACAGTTGTCGATAATGATGGCACGTCATCCTTCACTCTTAACTGACTATAACAGTGCCAGATATTATGCACACCACTACCATATTTGCCAGTATGTGATGACCATGCTTTACCTTACTGCATGCAAGAAATACCTAAACTATGTCTGGATCCTTTCATTGATTATTTCTACATTCCAGTCTGGCCATTTATGATGCTTAACCAAATGTGGAATAGTCCCATTTATGTGGTTTGTCATTATTGCTGCTGAAATGGTTTTGATTGCTACACAGTGTCTAGGATTTGAATATTCAACGAATGGACATGATCTTGCTGTCATAAGTTTCAAATTCTTGATGGTTATGAGTCATTTCAGTGAACTTCCTATCATACAAATAATGGCAGTAATGATTGACAAGCACTACAACTACAAGCAGTTTTCTTTGTAGAGTATTGGCATTCAGGAACAGTCAGTTTTCAATTTCATGGGTGAGTACATGCTCCATACTATCTTATATACAAAACTGCTCCAATTTCACTGTCATTAACATATGTATCCAGGATGAAAGGGTGGTCTTCACAAGGACAACTCAGCACTAGTGCTTCAATCAAAATGTGCTTCAAGAACTGGAACACATCTTCACATATCTGTGCCCTCTTAAAGTGTGTATCATAGTGAGCCAATGCAGACAGTGGTGTAGCTATCATGGAGGAGTTAGTCACAAACTTTATTGTAATATGGCACAAAACCTTAAAATTTATGGACTTGACATTTATTCACTTTTGCAGAATCTGTAGACACTTCATCTCTATGAACTATGTGATGAAAAACTCCACTTTCATAATACATGAACATACATGTGCAATTTCACAATGATTTACAGGTTCTCCAATGTGGTGTGTTTCATGCATCAGTTCTTTCACCAAAGCAGATAGCAAAAATGCATTAGATTGCTGCTGTACTACACCATGGAACACAATTTGCATATTTGGTAGTATCATTACCACCTTTTAAAATATCTATATGCAGTCCACTCATTGCCATACAGTCCACTGTTCTCATTAGCTTCTCAAAAATGACAAACATGTTACACTGACGGAATAGTATGATGAAGAATTCATACAGTCCTTGCTGATTGTCAAAAGTAAGTTTAGGAGCTTATTTCAGCATCCAGTTGATCATGCCAGTAATAAGAAGTTAGATCTAGTTTACTGAACCAATTGGCCCCTTCTGTTGCATCCATACATTCATCTGCATGCTGTAGAAAATAGGTGATGACATGCATTATCATGTTAACCCATCTTCAATCCATTCAGGACCCTAGCATTCCTTCTTCCTGAAAATCATTACTGAAGATGCCTAAGCAAAAGTTGTATTTTCTACTCCTTTAATAGCCACTTGATTTCACCACTGCCAATATCCTAGGTGCTTCAAGGCTGTCTGAGTACTATTGTTCTGTCAAACATCCATCATCTGTGTCTATGGTATGACATAGTTTGTTGTCTGACCAATCATCCATCTTTTCCCACAAACACATCAGTACATTCCTTGAGGAACTCACTTAGCTCATGTTTTAATGTCAGATTGTTAGTAAAATCTTCTGTTAGAGACCCCATGTACTCCAGAAGATACATGTCTGTTCTCTGGTAGGACACAGTGACTGTGACATGAGTTACTGAACTTGTTTATGCCACTTTTCCCTCTGTTACCACATTGATGACAATTTCAATTCAGAGCTGATTAACCTTATGTCTGCATTTATAGACTAGCACTGGTACCATACTTGCACTCAGAAACACCAGTGTTTCAACAAGTTAGTGTAACCTGATCTACAAACAGAAAACAGTATATTTCATGCATCAGTTCTATCATCATAGTATAGAACAAAATTACTGTAAAAGTGCATCTGTATTACACTAAGAAATGCCATTTGCACATTTGGTAATATCACTATTTCCTTTCAACATGCATATGTGCTGTCCACTTGTTGTCATGCAGTAAACTGTTGTTGGGTCAAGTGTGTTTATAATGAATAGTCTGGCTGACAAGTTCTGAAGCTGGTCCATCCTTACGAAACTAATGCCAGAAGCTAGAGCAGAGACAACTATCTTCATTTGGTGGGAAACATTATGAAGACAAAGTCAAAGACACACCTCTCCATTCATATTTTGTCACTATTTGTTAAAACAAAGTTTGG